AAATGAAATCAACGAATCTACGAATAACATCTACACGGAAGATAGGATACAGAACATGCAGTAAACGGTTAGAATTAAATGATTACTCCGTGGCGAAGTTGCCCAGGTATTGGCTTCGGTGTCGTGGGTTCGATTCCCACACGAGACAGCTATTTGTGTGACCCATAGATATTTGTTTCGCATCCGGATGTTTGTCCGCGTGAAATTTATGTTTGAAAGACGTCCTTACAACACAGGATAGTGTTGTCCTAAAGTAAGGGCAGTGTTTTTTTAAAGAAAAATAAAATTAAAAAACACGTGCTAAACTGCGAAGACACACAGAAGAAACACATGGGTACTATAAAAATATGGCAAATGTTAAGCACATTGACGGGCGCATATTGTAAAACTCAATCAACAAGCAGAATTATCCGGTCGCAGTTTTCGAGAAAATACATTTTTAAAACTTTTTATTTCCATTTGGAAAATCCGTCATTTTATTAATTTGATGTTAATAACTGAATACACAGTACTGCCAACCTGATAAATATTGGAAGCGAACGACATCGTACTCGTACCGTAAAATGGGGTGAATAGCAAAAAAAAAACCTAGAATTATTTCAGTTCATTTTCTTGCATCTACCATTTTTCTTATAGTGGTAGAATTTTTTTAATGGCAAGTTTGTTTGTATCATTGGAACAATAATAATAATAAGCCTTGTTGTTCTGAACTTCTCATAAGTATGAATGAAATATTTTGTTCTTTTTATAATATGCCCCGAAGCTCTGCTGTTTGCCTCTTGGCATAGGCCTCCTCTAACAGTTTCCATTGGGACCTGTCACTTGCTACTCTTCTCCAGTGAAATCCAGCCGTAAGTTTCAGATCATCTTCCCATCTTGTTTTCTGGCGTCCTCTGCTTCTCCTGCCGTCTCTGGGATACCAGTTTGTAAAAATTTTACACCATTTCTCTTGGGAGTCGCGTAACATATGACCTGTCCATCTCCACTTTTGTTGGTCTATCTGGGTTAATATATCAATAACTTTGGTTTTGGCTCTTATTATGCTACATCTCACTTTGTCTTGTTTCTTTGTTCCTGTCAAGCTTCTCTCCATTGGAACAATTATCAAGTATCAAAGAAACTTCAATCTATCTCAAAATGTTCGTTAAAAGTTGTGATGCAGTGTGCATGATATTTTCGCCCAAATAGCTTTCTCTGTTCTAGTATTATCGCGGTTTAGCTGGATTTAAATATTAGTACGGGTAAATAATTCATTTAATCACCGGAATATATAAAAAAAAAGTTAAAATAATCATGGCTTAAAATAAGTAATGCAAAATAAGGTGCTTATAAATTTTAATAAGAAACGGGGTGGTTGGAATCACTTGTATCTTGTATTAATTGATGTTTGTGCATTCAGTCACGAGACTATTAAAGCTTCATCTGACGCAGAACCGGTGGGCTAGCCAGAACCCAGCAGTTAGTGTAGTCTGGAATCACTACAGAGGTCAACAGAATCGAAGAGAGAGAAATGGAAACGCTAACGGGGTAAAAAGAACCGCCTAAACGTACTTGGTCAAATTAGGAGTGGTTCACAGAAAATTTTGAAACAACATGCCAGATCCTGATTTTGAACAGTTTTTTAAAAAGGCATAGTGAAAAAATTTGTAAGAGAATTTGTGAGAATATGAAAATAGTAAGAGCCAATGTATCGCTAGCAATCATTGAAGTATACCACGAGAAACTCGAAAAATCATTAATGATTGATGACGGTGGGACGGTTGGTGCCACTAGTGAAGAAAACCCCACTACAATTTTAAGGTTTTTGGATGTTACAATTCGTATATTAAACCAAAACAGAAGAAATATTGTAACACTCATATTTATTTATTTATTTATTTAGTCTTTATTGCATTTCCTTTAATACGGAACACAATAGGCGGACTTAATGCCTCAAGGCATATTTCTAATTTTAAAAACTCTTTTTTATAACACGAAGTTACCTTTTGAAAGTATGTGAGCCGTGATAGCCCAGTGTCCGGGCGCTCGCCTTTAATTCAATATACTCGAGCAACCTGAGTTCGATCCCCGGTGCCGGCACCAATGAAGTTTTTAAGTGCTGACTTATCACGTGCTCCGCGGTGAAGGAAAACATCGTGAGGAAACCTGCATATTTTCGAAATAATAACAAAAAAAATATATATTTCGAAGATATGTGAAGTCCGCCAACCCGCAGTTGGGCCGCGTGGTGGACTATGCCCTGATACCCTCTCTATAGAGGAGGCCTTTGCCCAGCAGTGGGACATGTATAGGCTGTTACTTTACTTTTTTGCTGGTGAAATAATTGAAAATTTCGAAAGTCACGTACGTCGATTGGGCTAGTTTCATGCTAGAAGTTTTCATTGACTACTTGGCTAGACACTCGTGTCAATTGGCGGGAAAAAGGTTATAGTCGAAATAGACGAAGCAAAATTCGGTCGCCGAAAATATCGCGGCCGAATAATTCCAGGACAGTGAGTGTTTGGCGGCGTTGAAAGAAACAACAAACGCAATAAATTTTTTGTACAACGTGAAACGTGAAAAAAACCTCTAAGACCCTTCTGAGTGTTTTCAAGAAATATGTGTTGCCGAAAACTGTGTTGCTGAAATTTGTAGTGATTGCTGGAAGGCCTATGAGGACTTGAAGAATGAAGGCTTCTAGCAGTTTTTATTGTGCAGCACTGTATATTTCGACGTGTAGGGTCGACGTGAGGCTCACTTCATTGGATATCTGGCTGAGGCGCGATTTCTTGCAATTTCCCCAGAAACTGGTGAGCGTTTCCACCATTTCTGGAAGGCGAAGGCTGTGTCCTCTACCCGCCGAAGATATAAAATGTGAGTATTTAAAAAAAATCCGGTAGTAGTTAATGAAGCGTTATTAAATTTAACATGTTGACAACAACAAAATGGCGGATTTTTTTAGTGAAAATTATACTATTTCATTTTTTTTCCTCGATAATTATAAGCGACCGAAGAATTCTGTTTGTTGATTAATTCATTAATGATTTTTCTCTATAGTTTAAAATGTATCGTTTAAAATTATTCGTCAATGTCCTAAAAATTTACCCGAAAATCTTCTATGATCGGTTGTCTTCTTTTGTTTCTTTAATGTTTGTTACCCCACAGAGCGCCTTTATTTGTATTTTGCAGAAATAATGTAAATTCAAGCTACATACTGAAGTTATAGACAGTCAATAGGTTTTTGGGAAAATGTTGTCACCATGTTCTCCGATACACACACATTCATTGAACACATTTACAATTTTATTCATGGTCGATTTACATTTAACAATAAAACTGTACGGCAATGAATTAGCACGGCTCTACGATAAAAATACGGTTCAATATCGAAGAATCTAGTTTAACCTCTCTTCAATTGTACTGACTGGCTAAAATCTAGTAAATAGAGTTACCCTGAAGAAATGGACGGTTAACGTGTTACAAATTGTTGTGGGTTATCTATCCCTTTACTTTAAGCCTATGGTCGTTTAAAAAATCTTGCAACCACCGAAATGTAATACTTGAAAGTAAAGTAAAGCTGCTAGTCTGTAAGTGTCTCACTGTTGGCCCGCCTCTTTACAGAAGGTATTAGGGCACACTTCACATATCTTCGAAATATTTTCTACTAGATTTTCGCCCACGGCTTCGCTCGCGTTGAAGCCCTTAAATAAACTCTTTATTAACTCTTTACAACACTTTTTTCCAATTACAAAATAGCCTGTGTCCTTTATCGGGCTCTAGACTATATGTGTACCAAATTTCATTTAAATCAATCCAGTAGTTTTAGCGTGAAAGCGAGACAGACAGAGTTATTTTCGCATTTATAATATTAGTAGAACATAGGCCTCCCCACATACTGCCACGTAGCACGATCCTGACCCACCTGCATCCATTGACTTAAGGATGTTCTATTTGTTATTATTTAAAAAAAATAATTCAGGTCTTACGATGTTTTTCATCACCGCTGAGCACGCGATAAATCAGCAATTAACATTGACAAACCCATTTGTGCCGGCACCGGGGATCGAACTCGGGTAGCTCGAGGATAATGAATTAAAGGCGAGCGCCCGGACAATGGGCTATCACGGCCAATGGCATTGAACGGTAATTATGTTATACATACAAAACATCGCGACCATATACGTATACGCACATAATAGGGATGCCGAAAGTGAAAAAAATATGTCGATATATCGATATTTATAAAAATATCAATATCGGCCTCGATATATCGAAGAGAAAATATCGATGTTTTCTTATAACTTCTTAGAAACAAAATGTACTCCTGCGAAAACGTTTATGACGAGAAACAGAGCCTAAATTATTATTTATTATATATACCAATAATTAACTTTCAATATTATTTTTAATTATTTTCTCATCAACAATACTTGATACGTACGGTTCAGTTACAGTATACACGTATTATATAAAATAAAATGTATATTTATAAAATCTCACTGCTGGGCAAAGGCCTCCTCTGTACAGAGGGCATTAGGGCATAGTACGCCACGTGGCCCCACTGCGGATTGGCGGTCTTCGCATATCTTCCCACATTTTTATCAAAAGTGTTTAATTATTTCAAAAGTATGTAAGGTTACCTCACGTTTTCCTTCACCGCCGAGCACGTGATAAATAAGCATTTAATTAACAATAAATTGTTAATTAAAGTAAATAAAATTATAAATTAGTGCAGGCACCGTGATTTGAACTCAGGTTGCTCGGCTATACTGAATTATTAGCAAGCGCTCAGTCACTAAGTCTTATCACTGCCTTTAGAAAAATTAATATATAAGAAAATCTCACAGCGCACAATCACAACATCGGTCATAATTTTTTTCTTAAAAATAATGCATTGCACATAAAAAGCTCTTAGACAATTATAATCTCGTAAGAATATTATTAGACTATTTATAATCGCATAAGAATATTCGTGCTACGAACGGCGTAGGCGCCTGCGGCTCTACGGGGGGCGGTCGCTACGAAGCCGTCGAGAGGCGCCTTTCGTCCGCCTCCACGAATGCCTCCAATGGTTGGCCCTTCAGCAGTAAATCCGTGGTTCTGAGGGACAAATCAAATAAGCGTGGAGTGAGTAGTTTTTAACACATACAACTAGCAACTAGATTGTATGTAAAAATAGTATAACCAGTAATAATAACCAGTTTCGCAAATAGGCAGGTTAAGATGCGACTTAGTAAGAAATCAAGTTTCATTTACAAAGCTTGCACGATAGGCAAGTCGTTCCGGGTTGCTACCGTAGTCTTCTATGAGGTCGTGGTACTTACCCGGACGAGTTCGCCCATTCGTCAACAGCCGAGGCTGCTGCGTGGCCCTAGCGCCGTTAAATAGTGCAGTAACTGTATAGTAAACTCACAGCGCCAATAAAAACACGACCACCTGGGTGCCGATGGTGAGGTAGAAGATTGCGTTCACGTATCCGGTGCCCAGTGTCGCCTTGTACAGCTGCGAGTAGACCACGGAGGCGAACATAGCCACCGCGTTCTCCATCACCGAAAGGAACGCGAAAGCCACGCCTGCGGTCGGTGATACAATGGAATACATTAGTTAAAGTATGTGTGTACTCATGTACGAGTGTACATGAGGTCTTCCACATCTTACACGAGGTTACACTTTAGCGGAATAAAAGAATAACAATGGCAGCCCTTAAAACAGTGGACCCCGATTATGTCATTCGGCGGATGAAACGCGAAACTTCAACGCCTTTCCTGCGAGGCCGTCGTACTTGCCCGGACGCGCCCGCCCACTAGAGCAAAATCGGATGCTGTCGCGTTCGAGATTTTTTTTAAAATAAAACATTGCCCGCACCTTAGGACAACATTATCCCGTGTTGTACGGACGTTTTACAAGGATACATTTCACGCGGGACAAACGCCCAGTTGCGAAACAATTGTTTGTGCGGAGCGAACCCGCGTAACGCGACGCCGAAGCCGGATACCTTGGCGTCTCCGCGCGGGGCGTCTTCGATTCAAGTTTGAACGTTTATACCGGGAAGAACTTAAGAAAAATGGGCTCGGTCATGGGTCTAGGTGCTATTGAGGCGGGAGGGGAGGGAGACGGGGAGGGGGGGGGAGATGGAGACGGGGGGGGGGGGGGGGGGGGGGGGGGGGGGGGGTGTTATACCTCTCTCCGCCGGCGGGAGGACCTTTGAGGTCATCGCGCGGACCAGCGGCGCCACGCAGGGCCCTAGGGCGGCGGCGGCCGCGCCCGCGTACATCGCGCCGCCGCTCTGTGCGTGCGCGTACACCGTGTGCCCGGCGATGTGCGCCCCCGCCCCGACCATTATTATCAGCTGCGGAGCGACGGGGGGGCCTCAACGGTCTGTTCGCCCCCCGATCCGGCCTAGCGGGGCCGGCGAACGGGCGTAGCCCCAATAATGCGATGCGGCGAACGGGGCTATTTACAGTGCGTTCCGCGTTTTAATAATGAGTCCAAATCCAATTTGCGAATGTTTCTATTCGAATCTGCTCATTCAATGAGCTGTCGAGAAACTGCGCCGATATTCTATTAACCTATGATGACTGATTTTTCGATTACCATCCTGTAAGAGGTTGTTGATTGCCGCCGCCTATATCTAAAACACTTTAGGAGAGAAATTGGAAAGGTCAACTTTTAAAGTGCCTGTAGGGTCCTAGTGTCCCGTCGGAGGAAACGCAAAGGCGTAAAACTTCCCACTTCCTTCGTTCGTTTTGCTGTTCTCTACTATGGAATTTTGTGGGGCCTTCTTACGCGCACGAGGCTGTCGTGCAACAACAGAAGCGTGGCCCCACTTTCCTCACACTCCTGTTTGTAAGTTACTACTGTTGTAAAATAGTATTAATGACGATATAAACAGATAATAATTATAACCATACAAAATATAAACTACTGTGAAAATTATTAGGTGTTTCGATCATTCTGGATACGCTTCCTTTTATACGAGACTCGATTACTATTGGCATCGTACATCATTAGAATTTAACCAGAAATAAATATTATATATATCTAATAAGAATATTTTGACTTTGAAATACAATTTTATATTGACACATTATATATACATTTTATCATTTGATTATTTTTCTTCTGTTGTGTTTAACATAGTCATATCGGTGATTAAAACCAAGTTAGAACATACCGTATCCCTCCAATTGAGCACTTTGGTGAACAAAGGTATTCCAAACAGCATCACGACCACATAGGCCGTGCTCAGGTATGTCCTGAAGTTGCTGAAGTCTGTAGCGTCCCATCCGAAGACGTATGTCGTATACAGATACATCACCGGTCTTTCGTCTGTAATCGAGTAGAAATCTTATCCTTTAAACGAGCAATTCTTGTATACATATATATATATATAATCGGAATCTCGGAAACGGCTCCAGCGATTTTCATGAAATTTAGTATGTGCGTAGATTCGGGGGCGAAAAATCGATCTAGCTAGGTTTCATTTTTAGAAAATGCCCTTTTATCCCTGTTTTCCGGGAATGAAAAATAGAATTCGAATATGACGGTAAATTTCGCCGCAAGAGAAAATCACGCGTCACGATCATTTACACATAAATTTTTTACTTTTTTTTCGATTCCAGATCATTGTTTTCTTTATTTTTAATTTTTTGTCGATTTGTTATTTCGTTATTTTTTCCTTTTTTTTAAAGTTCTTTCTTTTGTGAAAAACATCAGTTCATATTTTCTTATTATTACGCCGGTGAGATCTAAAAATATTATGCATATTTCATTACTCAGTAATTTGTATCTAAATGTAATTTCCAAAATACACGATTTATCAAAAAAAAAAACAAACCGAGCAAAGCTCGGTCCTCCGGGTACTATGTAGTAAAGTAAGTCTGTACGTGTCCCAATGATTGGGCAAATATCTCCTGTGCAGAGAGGGTGTTAGGGCAGAGCCCTCCACGAGACCCCACTGCGTATTGGCTGACTTCATATATCTTCGAAATATGTTTTTGTTATTATTTTGAAAATATACCGGTTTACTCAGGATATCTTCGTTATCGCTAATCACGTGATAAGTCTGCAATTAGAATTAACAATTTCATTGGTACCGGAACTCAGGTTGCTCAAGTATATTGAATTAAAAGCGAGTGGTCGAACAAACACTGATCATAGTAGAAATCAACTAACCAGCTATCAAATTGATTTGAGTTGCCAAATGGATCATTAAAAAGATTATTCTCATCAATTCAGACAGTTTAACAATCCATTTGGCAACTCAAATAAAATTTGAAAATCTATTTGACAGTTGATTATTTGACTTCTACGATGATCGGTGTTTCGGAAACCGGGCGTGAGCTATCACGGATTGTATATTAAGAAGCGAAATTTAGTTTTGCTAACTGCTTTCGTTAATTATAGTTGATTAATACACTATTAGAGTCCGCATTTCTTGGTAATCAATTAATATGAATCATAAAAACTGTAATTATTAATGGTTGAATCAATTTACATTTATTACTGCGAACGCTGAGTAGAATCCGGTTCAAAGGACCTTATATGAATATGCGAATCCTTTATATGGCTTGAAAGAAGCATGATATAAATTTTTTTATTGGTTTATATACTAGCTGATTCGGCAAATGCTGTTTTGTGGAATTTCGTAAAATCCGTTCTTAGCTAGTAGACCTCTACTCGGCGAAAGGAATATTCTTACTAAATTTCAAGTCTCTACGCCTTATGGAGTCAATTATCGGTGGAAATCTCTTATAAAAACTTTAATTTTTTTTCACAATTTTCATAGTTTTAACTGTAGAACATTAATTTTTTTGATTTCTGTCCATTTCTCCCAATTGATGAGTGTGGGAAGTTTGTATCAGTTTATAAATCCACATTTAAAAAGAAAGTCACATCAGACCAAGTGGAGAAGTAGCCACTAACCTCTCTGGAACGTGTAAAACGCCATGGAGATGAGCAGGAACCACAGTAGTAGCCTCCTGTTGTTCGGCCGCTTCTTGGACAGCGTGACTAGGGTCCGATTTATGTTCCTCAGGTCGAAGAAATCCGCGATGGGGTTCCGCACGTTCGCCTCCCTGAGGGACTTCTGCTCGGGCCGGGTCTGCCACTTCAGCGCGATTGCACAGTACACCGTCGCGACGAGCATTAGGCAGGCGTTGATGAGGAACATCGCCGTGAAGGATCTGTTCACGACCTTCGTATACAGCAAGTTGCCTGGAAACGCGTCACGTCAGTCGCCGCAGCGCGCAAGTAAACTTAGATAAGGATAGTGGGAACTCCAAATATTTAAGCGAAATTGTATTACTCTTGAGAGCCGTTATAGCTCAGTGTCAAGGTGCAAGCCTTTAATTGTATTTACTCCTGCATCCCGAGTTCGATCCCCGGTGCCGGCACCAATGAAATTGTTAATTTTAAGTGCTGAATTATCACGTACTCGGCGGTGAAGGAAAACATCGGGAGGAAAAGTGAATATTTTCCAAAAAAAATATTATATATTTTCGAAAAATATGTGAAATCCGCCAATCCGCAGTGGAGACGCGTAGTGGACGATGCCCTGATACCGTTATTACAGAGGAGGCACAGGCCTGTATAAAATGTCCCTCTGCTGGGCCTGTGACCATTTATAGACTGTTACTTTACTTTTATATTATTCTTGCCCTTAATAGCGGTCGCCGTTGCGCAATTTTGGGCCAGAAAATAAAAAAAAACAATCAAAAACGAAGCAATTGTCTTAAAAAGACATTTTGAACCGTTGCGTTCAGAATAAGCATAGAGTTTAGAGGCCAGATGATCCATTAGCTATAATTTACTAGCTAAAAAAACTCGTACGAGTAATTTTTCCAATACCAATCCATTGAGCGGTTACACACACATAAAATAATAACGCTGTGTACTTTCGCATGCTCAGCTTAGGGACATCAGTTCATCAATTCATCAATTCTACACGTACTCACCGATGGCAACGCCCGTCGGCATGGTGCTCAGATACACGATGTCCAGGATGCCCACGCGTAGAGTCCTTTCCTTCAATGACGTCACGTCCGAAATGTAGGCGAAGCTACCGGCGAAAATCGACAGGTCCGCGCCGGTGAGAGCGCTCGGAAAGGCAGCCGTGTATATAACGTACTCCACGGGCCAAGCTGTTGCGACATGGTAAGGCTCAGTTTTTTTCACAATTCCGCATCCCTAATGCATATTATGAACTTAGAACCCAACTACTATTTATTGGCAACGGGTTTTACAATTATAATACAATAAATACAAATAATAAACACACTGTATTTGTCAAATAATGGTACAAAAAAAAAAACATCCCGCTTAGTTTCTGTCGCCGATCAGTGGCTGTTCTTTTCCGCATCGGTGGTTCTATTTTGACAATCAATAAGTAAAAGTTTCTTATTGAATAAAGGTTAAACTTGAGCAGTGTCTTCGCGTAAGGAATGTGCATATTTAAAAGTATAGTGATGAATCAATCCCTAGATCAGCGGCGCTTATACCAATGATGTAGTCCAGCGAGAACGTTTTACATTCGCGAGCTTCCTACTAATAACCATACTTCAAGAAGATTATGTTAATAAAAACAGGTTTGCAATAAAGATACATATTGCTAGGAGAATGGGTATCAGTTTTGTCAAAGTTATGTTATTTCTTAGTAACATTCCAAATTAAAGACGGTACGCATAAATTCCTCGTATTGAGGATGAAAAAAAATTTTCGCGGATTGCAAGCGTGGCAACTTGTCGTACTATAGAGCACAATATGATTCCCAAATTGGGTTCCATTGAAAGGCCCTAGATGTTACAGCTCGTTTAAAAATTACAAAATTAAACTAAATAAATCCAGGACAGGAGAAAATATCATTTCGAGGGCTAAAGAAACACAGAGAAGCAAAGGTTAGGTAGTCGTCCCTTCCTCATAAAGTGTAATGACAACGTTATCAATTTCTTGTTGCGAACAGAACTATACATACAATTTCATTATTATATCAATGCCTTGAATAAAACCTCTAGCAATGTACTTTGCGCTTAATTTCAACTTACAATACTAATAAGTGTCATAACATGCCACGTTAAACACAAAGCTATTGTGTTCGCATGTGCGACAAATTTTCAATGACACTGAAGTGATTTAAGTATTCTTTAATTTTTTAAATCACATCAATCGCATTGTGATTTCAGTACAAAAACCGCCATTTGGAATTGGAAATTTACCGAGTCGTTTATATTACGAAATTTTCACTCATATATTTAAATAGTCAAACCTTTCTAACTTTAAAAGAATTTTTCCTGAGAAATTGCTTGTGTTTTTATAACAAAAATAATACATATTTCTTAGAATTAACGTCAGTGTTTTGTTTAAAACTTATTGTGAACAGGTTTATTTATGTCTTCTTCCCACTAACGGGCGATTATCAGATTTTAGAAGTTATTTTTAAAGCGATTATAGATATTTCGTCCTTTCCACCGTAGGGCGTACGTATCGTCGCTTAACAATGCGGTATAGAATTCTGTTGGAATTTGAACCGTTACACACGGTTTCTGAAATACTGATCATCGTAAAATCCGAATGATCTTGTTCCGCACGATAATGAATCGAATATTTTAAAAATCCTTTTGGCAACACAAATGACATCTGATTAGTTGACTTCTACGATGATTAGTGTTTCGGAAACCAGACGTCAGTTTTTCAAATATGACGCGTTCAACACTCACCGTTCATAGTGTTCAGGGTGATAACAATCGAGAAGTAAAGTTTCCCCAGCAGCCCAGCGAGCAGGATCGACTTCCTCCCCCGTTTATCGCTGTAAGTGCCAATGAAGAAGGCCAACAGGAGCGGCACTACGTGGCTGGCGATTCCGTTCCACTGGTGGAACGTCGAGACGGTCACCTAAAACGGTCACCTCACAAGTTCGTTGCCAAAGTCCAGCCCACATTTGTCTCCCCCTGCTGTTTTTGTCAGATGTACGGCCGAGAACTGCATCTTTCTCTTTTGGCTTTGACTTAGGACTTACGATCTAAATCTGCGGTTCGAAGCCGACTAGCCCATAATTCCTTAACACTACGTTAGAGTTTTATTTCTATGTAACTCTTTAGGTTAAAAAGACGTAAGACGTTATTGTATTTACCTATCAAAAACGTACATTAATTGAAAATTTAATTTTTCTTTAATCTTTATCCCAAAACAAATCTTCTGCGTGATTTTTATGTATATTTTTCCATCGTTTAGGAAACAAAGTTTATAATTAATTAAAGCACAAGAAATAGCGAAGGTAGCTTATATACGAAACGATGAGAATCGACAAAATACTGTAATACGATCCTTATAAAATGTATTTTTAGATGTGTATATTTCATTTTACAGAATATTGCTAGGTACTTCATGTAATGGTACTTTAATGGTAATTTAAAAAAAAATTATTGTTACATACATACAAATTTAATCGTTGCAATCTGCAAAGATCAAAATTTTATTCTATATTTCATAAGCAACGGTGCCAATACTTGTATTATATGTATATTTATTGTGTTTATGTGACGTCAGACGATTTTACGATACTTAGTGACACTGTGAAGTTTATACTGGCTTGTTAGTAACACGCAATCAGTTAGTGATAAAAGTGGTAGCAGAACAATGCACAATTTAGTCTTATTTGTTTTCTAATTATTACGAAGGGATTATGATAACAGGACAATGAATAATATAAAACGATGTTATCTTCGTCTGCAGATGTTTAATGTTTTAAGTGTCTCACAGATTTAGAGACGATTTTCACTACTTGTACTTGTTACAGGTCGGTTAAGTCGGCGCACACGATATTTAGATGATATTAATATGATTTATAAAAAATCTTTGGGTGGATGATTGCATTTGTTTAAACACATTTTTGTTTAAGCAAATTTCGTGGTAATTTATTGCTGTACCACTCCGTTAAACACAAATAAGGATATAAAATTCTTATTTGTACTTAAGTTGACCTTGTACTTTAAGTTGACCAAGGTTAAGTCTTGCGGCGGAACGATTTTAAAATACAAAGCAAGCGAGCATAGGAATTAAGCAAATGCTCGTTTGATATGTGAAAACTAAGATGGCAAATAATTGCTATTCTTTTACTATAGTAACATCGGAGAGAAATCAATGACTAGGCCATATCTGTCGAAACTGGCACAGAGCGGCACTTTTGTGACAATCGCGGATAAATTGAGTCTTATCTCAATTTGTTGAGCATTAAGTTATTTTCCACGATAGCTGGAGGGCTTTGTGTGCCATAGACAAATCTTTACCTCTTCAAATGCTACATCTATCTGCGATATCTAATCATTGACAATTTGAAGTATTTAACCTTGAAAAAAAAATAAGATGCGTAGTTATTTGTGTGTCATAGCATTTATGATTGGCAGAGGTCAGCTAATAAGTATGTGTAAATGAAATCTGTATTATTCATAGGCAAGTTTTTGAAACAATAAATTATTTGTAATAACAACTTCTACTTAAAACTTCGTAAGACTTCTTCTTAAAACAAGAAAGTGTAGCTTCTCTTATTGGACAGAAAAGAAGTATGGGAAAGAGTCGGTTTTATGAAGAGGGCAATCTTAGAATAGATTTTTGATGTGATCTGCAAGCAGACTTGAATGAATGAGCAAAGAAAAAATATGCAAAATCGATTCTGTGAGTATGAAGACCAAAAGGTATCATGCAAAAGAATTGTACGAAAGCGAATACGATGCCATTTGAGTTGCTTAACAGATTTGGATTTGGCGTCATCATATTTTTTTAAAAAAATCATTACTTTTTATAAAAAAATATGCTTTGAATAAATGAATTATGAACACGTTCAAGTTTATTCAAAAGATACCCTGTGGCGTCCATATGAGAACATCTGGGTAATCTACGATCGGCATAAGTGCTTGTGTTAGACATTTTAGTAGCCAAAGGTAGGAAACTTTGCAAATACTTCAGACTGTAGAAAGCGAAGTGAAAGGATCATTGTGAATTACAAAGCTTACATGAGGTCCCCAAGATAGTATGTTATTAAAAATAACACCCAAATTTGTTACTGTAGTAGCATGCTCAATGTCACAATCATTTAAGATAGGAGCGGGCAAAGAAGTAATATTGAAAGTATTAAGTGTAGGTCTATCATAAATATCAATTTAACATTTTAATCTGGGTTATAACAAGACCATAGCACGGAGCCCTGTGACTGTTGCGTTTAAGTTTTTATTTATATCATTAACAGCTATCGAAATATCGGAATCGTCTTTGCAATATTACGATATTTTGTAGGTCGTCGGCATTGTGATGGTATTTAAGAGAGACAACCCTAATCTAATCATCATTTAACACGGAAAAAAGAAAATGAAAATGGTTTATAGAATTATGAATAGAGAGTATTACATACTAGTCAACGCTTTATATTTTGTATGAATTCGATCCCAGACATACTTCAATACAATCAAACAAATTTAACGAGCTGGAAATATGGCTATAAATCGACGCTCATTTCTCGGAAGGATGGTAAGCTGAAACGAATGAACGCGCGTTCAAAGGAATCCTTATTAGCAGAGTCTGACACATGACAATAAATACAAAACTCTACAAAAAATATCAATAACTGATCGAGCGGTCTTCGCAATAATTATTAATGGTAGTACTTGCTAAGCTGTGTAGACCAAAAAGGCTCTAGCTAAATATAAATAACCCACTAATAACGGTTGTCTATGGGTAAGCAGCTGACAGTAAGTTATGAGGTTTACCAACCGAGTTTTCGGGCGAGTAGAGATTAAATACGATCCAAAAAAGATGCTACAGTAGAGGATGTAAATCTCACATTGCGGTTAGTCTTTAGTTGGGTCTATGAGCATCTTATGGTATTGAATGCCACCAAAATCCATCTGTCTTTTCAATTAGATCTCAAATGTTAGCTTTGGCCGGTTCATAGAGTCCAGGGCCAAAGCAGCACCAAGGAAATTAGGATGTGCTTAAAATAGGGTCCTCAGTTACTAACGTTTTATAAAACCAAAATCCGAACGTGTGTACTGCTGCCATATTTAGGCTGGTGCTAATTTGATGGAGAGAAGTGCCAAGAGATTTATTGGTGTCCCCGACCTGGTAGAACTCTGAACCTAATCCTGAACACAGACCCATAGTAGTAAACTTTTTGGTCTTTATTATATCACATATTAATCACACATATCCGGGTTCGACTGTATATAATTGTAATTAGTCGTGATTAAAATTTGGCCAGGATGTCCAAACTGTACCCAAATTGTATTGTATAATTGTTTCGGATTTCTCGCCCAACTATACGTGAAGTTGGAATATAGATCCATATCTATATTCTATATATGATCATATTATCATAAAATGACCTGAGCATCCATATGCTCAGGTCATTTTGGTACCTCGTCCAACAGAAATGCCTAAACGCATTTATAGACTTGTCCATTCAATAAGTTTGTGTAGAACTTTTATATGGACAATTGGGAGCAATATTGCGGAATCATTCGCCGTCACGGTCCACGAATTTCATTAGTTACAATTGCGGCAATGTTGGAACTTTATTGTTCGCAAATTTTATGTGTAATTGAAAATTCACACACCACTGACTAAAAATTAAATGTAAATCATTTTCTTTATAATATTTTAACTATTTTCTATTTTAACCTAAAATATCTGTAATCATCGATTTAAATGATTGACAACTGAACCATTTCTTTGTTGAAGAGTAATTCAAATATGAAATACAAAATAGGCTAAAACATAATAGTTTGGCAGTCCACTGCCACCACTGCCGAACTATTATGTTAATATAAATAAAGTAATGTAAATTACTTCATTTTTACTTTATTTTTATTGGCTTACTACTAAATAAAGCTATCAATTGTAATTGCTCAAAAGCTAATCAGTGAAGGTGAATAATGTATAATATAAATTACTGACCTGCACTTCAGTATTGATTTCTTTATAGCTGCTAATATTGTAACATATCTCCTCACTGTAGCCATGGTTTACAGTGCATGCTTTGAACATGTAGAATGTCTGCTCTATCACATTGGTGATCATGAAGGCCAGCATGTAGAAGAACATCACTGGTTCCACCGTCACATATTTATACCAAGGTCTCTTCACATGATCCTAAAGCAACAACAAGAACAAGATAAATTCTTGTTATTTTTCCCCAGCAGCGTTCCAAAATTATTTTTAATAGAATAGTTAATTTTTATTGTATCCTGTGCTGTAAGAACATTGTCTGGGAGCATTAAGCATAATCATTTATTTATATAAGCTGTGATAGCTCATGGTCTGGACTCAAGCAACCTGAGTTTGATCCCCGAAGCCGGCACTTTAAATTTTTTATTTTAAGTATTATTACATGCTCAGTGAAGAAAAACGTGTGGTAATCTGTATATTTCCGAAATAAATAACAAAAATATATATAAATAACAAAAAATATATTTTGAAAGATAAGTGAAGCCCGCCAATCCATAGTAGGGTTGTGTGGTGAACTATGCTCTGATATCTTCTGTAAAGAAAAGGTTCCTCTGCCCAGCACTGGAACATATACAGGCTGTTACTTTGCTTTTTTGCTATATATACATATCTCTGTACGTTTCTCTGCTCAATAAAGAGTAAATAAGTAAAAGACAATAATAAATTTTCAAAACAGCTTAAGAACAATATACAAAATAATTAAATAAAAAAATATAATAATATAAAAAAAATATTATACAAAAACCTGATACTTTCCAAGTGTGTAATTGAAAGTTAACATAATAGAAAACTCTCACCGGCAGTAAAATTAACAAAACATACATATAATGATATATTATTTTGGTGGAGGTCATTTAACTATGGTTGGGATGCAAAATAGTTCACTGTTGCAAGAATTGGCAGGTCCATCAGGGGAAGTACCACAACCTCACAGTTATGTTTGTTTTATTAATATTTAATATTCAAGCATATACAATAGGTTCATTACAATGACACAAAATCAATTAGTTATATAAGATGTCCCATTTACAATGGTTTAGTACCATTTAAAGATTTTTTACATAAATGGTGAGATGAAATATTTCTTTATCTGTACAGATAAGAAGTGGGCCAGTTGGTACTATTGTATGTATTATTATTAATTAAGACATACTGTTATGTTAACAGATAAAGTAAATACTACACATTTAATAAAAATATTTAATTTCTCGTGTGACAGCCTTCTGTCTGGTTGAATGGTAGAGAATACCAGTAGGCATTTAGAAATTTTTTGATTGCTGTTTATTTGTTTGCAATAAAGCAAAAATAGGTATCAAGGACATATTAATATTGCCTTTCTGATTAAGGAAAAAAATATATATCAATGTATATAAAAACATAACCATTTCAATGGTAAACAAAAAATGCACACAAATACAGTTAATCAAATTGTCCAGTAATATCTCGATGGAAAAAGTAACACCAAAATAGTGTTCCATAAAAATAACATCAGATATGAGAGAAAACTGCATGAAAAAACATGTACATAATCTCAGTACCTTTCTTTATCAATATTCATTAAATCTTATTTTGGCACTGCATTAGTCTAAGAATAACAAAATTTCAAATAATAAATTAGTTTCAATATAAAATAATAAAACCTGGAGACAGAAAAGAGTAATTTAAACATGGAACAAACAATTGAAACACTATACAATTTGAAATTAAGTATGAATGAGGTATCCCTGTCTGATTAAAATAGTATAAAATTCTCATCATAAACATGTCAGTTGATAACATTGGTCAAATGACTGTTTTCAATTCTTAATAGTTTCAAGGATTAAATATAAATGAATATAATGAACTTATGGCGAAGTTGTGGCAGTAGTAAAGAAATACTTTACTGGATTTAAGATTAGAAGACAAATGAGGGCTACATTTTACAAATCAATTAATTTTACATTCAAAAACCTGATGTAAAAACTAAAACAGTTATATTAACTTTATTATTCATTATAAAATTATTTTTATAATTTATTTAATCTTTTAAATATTACATCAATAAGGATTGTACTACTAATTTTAGTATTTATTTACGTATACTAAAATTAAAAATAAATAAATGAGTAGTTTTCTATACTTTTAAAAACTAAAAAACGTGGACTGAAATTATATTACGATTCAGGAAACAAAATAATTACATCATAAAAAGTACTGACCACGCATTTTGTGTTTTCATCTGATATTAAATCCATTATAAAGTTGACTTCCCTTTATTGTACACAGGTAGAAAATTAAATAGATTAATTATTAATAGCAACAATCCATTTTATACGTTCTACTCAGTAATATTTAAAAAGTGGTTAGATTAATAAACAAAATTGAATCAACTGCACTTCTTGCCGCCAAACAACAACTGTCACGGTGTCAAGTTGTGTGTGTTACCTACTCTCGAAAATATTTGTCCCTAAAGTTTAATTCAAAACCTTAAACCCTTAAACCTCCCTAATAAAATAATATTATTAATAAAAACATATCAATGATATAAAGCGCCAAGCGATTTTTATCATCATCATCATCATTATCATCCTCGTCGTAAGCCCGTATCAGCCCACTGCTGGACATAGGCTTCCTCCCTCTTACGCCTTTCATTCCTATCCTAAGCGGATTGCATCAATGTTTTGCCTCCGATCGTTATGATGTTGTCGACCCATCAGGCAGTTGATCTACCGACGCCACGCCTTCTTTCTCGAAGCCTCTATTTAGTTATACCATGTCTATCAATGTAACCTGCTCAATGCCATTCAAGTCAAGCCGAATTATCCGTTTACCTACGTCGCAGACCTTCGTCGTATGACGAATTTCAGTATTATGGATGCGATCTCTTTACCCGTTGCCCAACATGGAACGCTCCATAGTTCGTAGTGTGACTCGCATTCTATACACTGTGTCTTTTGTGAGCTTTCATGTCTCGGATATAGGTTATGGCGGGGAGAACACATTGATTATAGATGTTGGTTTTCAAACATTGTGGTATTATGCAGTCCTTATGTATGTCTTAGAGCTTACCAACCTAATTGCATGCAGCGAGAGACCTCTTAATAAATTCTCTTTATACATATTTTTGGACTTTCTTTAAAATTAATCCTACTTTTTAAATGCACTTTTTAATGTACAGATGCGATTCTCCTTATCTCTATTATATATATATTTATCTTATCCTTTTTATAGTTCAATTCCACATCTTAGTAGTGAGAAACCGAGTCTGGCTTATACTCTACGCCGCTAGGTCAACAAATAAATGTGATAGCGTTACTTCAGGCGCATTATATTTTATATCTTTATTTTTCTTCATCAAAAAAATAATAAGAAATAAAAAGTAGGAATAAATATAAGAAGTTAAAAAATTATGTAAAACATTCCGAAAAAATCCCAACGCCTTAGGTTACTCCTTAAATTTCGGGGGGAACCCCTAAGTTGGAAGCCCTGCAGACTCAACACTTCAGCCTTACTACGCGCAACTTGTTGCAATTTAGAACTTAGTGTTGTCATTTATTAATTTTTTACTGTTAGGTGACTTTTTTTAATCAAAATGGAAAATATTCAAAAGAACGGTGGAAGGACCACGCAGCAGGCTGTTGCACGAATGGGCAGGCCCGTCCGGGTAAGTACCACGACCTCACAGAAGACCAGCGTAAAGTGGAAGTATGACCAAAGAGTACTGTTATATATCTGAGTATGACAAATACTTTCGCGTTTCGTCTGGTGAATGAGGTAGCCGGAGTCAACACATCAGTAACCCTCGGGTGTAGCAGATGTCCATGGGCGGCGGTATTCACTTACCATCAGGTGAACCGTCTGCTCGTTTGGCAACTTTTCACATAAAAAAAGATACCCTTAATTACAGGTTATCTTTTGAAGGTTATGTGGCGTTTTTCCTCACTAAAACCCCATTAGTGGCCACCTTCTGTAGGTACGTTTGGAGGGACTTCGCTCTTTCCCACGGAACGCACCGGTGTCCTTTGGTGTTACTGCGCGTTAGCACGCCTCGGAGGCGGATAAACCTTCTCCGATTCCCTCGTCCTCTTGCAGCAGCTCGAGACCACTTCATCCGTGTCGCCTTTTACTTCAGAACCGGGACTACAGGGCTGACGGGGCAGCACGCCTGTTTCTGGCGACGACATCTCCGAGCGGGGCTGGCCCTCTTCCTTTCCCATTCGGTGGTCTCCTTGACCCGTGCCCGCCAAGCAGAATTCTCGAAAGATTATCCCCTATCTTGTGAACCAGGATCCGCTAGATGACTACCATGCTGTTATCTTGTGATGTGTCGTTTGCTGTTAGCCTGGTGGCTTTTCACTGCTTCGGCGGAAGAGGTTCACAGGGCAGACGATTCGTGTACGCAGAACACGATGATAACACAAAGATGCCGTCCGCTCCGCTGCACTCTGCAACACGTTAGCAGATAACGAACATTGGTTTATTTTTCAAGGTAGGCCTAGACTACAAAAAAAATCGAACACTATGCGTCTTATTAAAAAAGTAACCGTTCATTATCGTTAATAATTTTTATTAATTTTTAATAGTAGTATTAGCTAATTAATCGTCAGTACCTACGTTGTGTATTCACAAGTAAATAAACGGAATGTATTGTAAAATGTATGTAATAAAAACTAAGTTTGTACATATATTTCTCGGCTGTACATAATTATTTGATTTCAATTTTTTTATGAAATTTCTTAGGTATTCAATAATGAATAGATAGCCTAGAATTTCGAATCAGTTACCCAAAATCCTGGGGTGGGCCCAACTAGATGATACTGGGGTGGGCATGGCCCAGCCGGCCCTCCTATCATATACGCCTATGCTAACGAAAGATGGCCAATCGACTTACAGGGAGACCCGACTCGATACAACCCCCCCTCAAGTACGGTTGAAACTGCGACTTAATGATGAGACATTCTGACATCGAATGATCAGTTACGAAAAATGAAGCCACGAAAACAAATATTTTTTTGTTAAAGCATAGGACGCCGGTAGTGCGACGAAGAGGAGGAACTGCTTTCCGAACCGGTGGTACCTTGCGAACCTTCATATCTAATTTTTATGCAATATTTAACGATTCATAAGAATGCGCAAGGGTCTATTTTAATAAAGATAAATTTGATTTGAAATCAAATTTATTGAAATGGTATTGAATCGACGGTTCGAGAAGAAGTCTTTTAAGAGAAGAAGAATTCTCACAAGCCTATCTGACACTACTAGAGATTTTCGATGCAAACTTAATTCCAGTCTTGTTCACTTTTCTATCATGTATGTGTCATCCATGTAAATAGTTTTCACCTACGACTTTATTTTCTAATTCTTTTTGGATTCGTTGAGCGAAGATATCATGTGGAAATGTGTCCCTTAAGGAAAATCCTGTGTTACGGACACGAGGCCGTCTTGGACTCCACAGAACGTTCAGTTTTGATTACTTCTTCTTTTACTACTTCTGACTTTTATATAATTCGTACTATACGTAAGCCTGGAAACATACTAACCTCTTCTGGACAGTAGAGCATTACAAAAAGGTAAGAGTTATGCAGGCTTATTAGGCACGCCTGATGGATACAGGAACTTCTTAGAGATTCGATGTAGTGTTTTAATCTAGACAATAATTCCATCTAATCATTTCTTAACGTTCAGTTTTATACGCAGCTTCCATTTGCTACACTTGTATCTTGTATCTGTATTAACTGATGTTTGTGCTTTCAGTCCAGAGACTATTAAAGCTTCATCTGACGCAGAACCGGTGGGCTAGCCAGAACCCACGGGTTTGGGCCCTCCGCTGTGGGTAGGGCCGCGCATGTGCTCATGCGTGCGTTTAACTACGGCATGTCATCTAAGGGCCATCGAAGTAGCGGTGCGGACCGAGACCCCGATGGCCGTCGACTGTGTTTTTTTAGCTAATCGGTGGCTGGGGGCGGTGAGAACCGCCCTGGAACGCGGGTGTACCTTGTGTACGCGTTGTGTTGGTCTCGCCGTGCTCGGAGGCGAGGGCGAACTAATGTGTTTGTTGCTACACTAACTGTGTGTGTAGTGTTATCCGGCGGGACCCCCGACGGTGGGTCCGACGTACCTAAGTCCCCTTCCTCGACCAGGTCGATGAGGACGTTTCGCGGGCGACGCTTGTTGACGCTCGCGTTTAGATCGGGTTGGTAATTTGCTGCGCTTACCACCAGAGGGTTGGGATGATGTTCGGCTCTATCGAAGAACCGTTTGGTCAGGTCTTTGAAAAATTCGCGAATCATCGGGAGTCTGCAATCACTGTGCAGGTCGACGTTGCGTTGATACCACTGCGCACCGGTTGCGCGGCGGATGAACTTATTTTGCACTACTTGCAACTTGTGCAAGCGAGTAGGGTGCGTGTGGGCGAAAATCATGCATGCGTAGGACATGATTGGCCGTACGCAAGCTTTGTATAAAAATTTGCTACACTATGCAGCGCTGCTTCTCTGAAAGTATCGGAGTACTATTGGATGTATTTCCTTAGCACAAAATAACCTCACCAGCCAAGAAATAGCCATAAGGTGAATTGCTTGCCACCTTTTTAAATAAAAATATTATTAAGACAAACAATACTAGACAGATATACTTGAATATAAAATAATAGTACCCAGTTAGTGGGTACATATCAATGGTGCAATTAATTTTACTTTTTAAATATAGTTACTAATATCGAATTGTCTTTAAAAAGTATTCTTCGACATACAAATGGCGTATTACCTTTACCCTTTAAGAACACTGAAATAAATACAACGAACATTTCAGTTAAATCACTTTTATTTATCTACACACTTTACGTAAGTCAATACGAAACAAAATACGACGGCACAACGAGGTATCTATGTATTTAATTGGATTTGCGTTGTTGTCACATTTGCACTTTGTTCAACGATTTCTACCGCTGCAGTGTGCTAATCTTCTGGCTCTATTGTGAACGTTTTCCTCTTCATTTTCTCGTCGGAACAGGTGGCCAGGCCTTGGAAAGGCCTGATGGTTGAGTTGACCGCTGACAGGGCCTCCATCGATATGGGGTTCGGCTCCAGAAATGTGTTGCATATGCGCCACTCGTCAACAATCAACAGATGTTTACTTAAGTCCCATCCTGTAATAAAGAGTCGCTATTACGTTACACTGGATATATGCCACTGGAAAGGATTAAGATCAATCCACATATTAAATTGTTGGCGTCATAACTGAAAATTTGTAACTGCACATAGTAGGGTCAAATCTAATATTAATGAACTGTATAATAACGTCCTTAATTATCTATGTTGACTTTTCCTGTAATCATGTACTTATACTGATAAATAATTACTTTTATAAAAAAAAAACCTGGTGATATTTGAATAAATCTATACCAAAAGAGTTCTATGTACAGTCCGAACAAAGTATAGGGATTGGAATCCTCCGCGTATGTTTCGTATAAAAATTTTGGTGCGATTTTTTTTTACGAAAAACAAAAAAGAAAGCATTTGCAACTTTAAACAAATGTTTCAGTAGGGTTAGCAACGGTCGGTGATTTCGCAATGAAAAATGCCCGTTACCAGTGTGCTCCATGCCCGCCTTTATCCTGTACCATTCGTTCTGCGCAATGTTGTCGACGTATCGCATCAGCTCGAACGATGGCTCGTAGCCGTAGCCCGAATGCGATTGGCCGCCCCTGGCCGGCTCCCGGCTCCACTCGGCCGACTGGACGGCGCGGCACACTTGAGCGAACGGGCGCTCCCCCGCGCCTTTGTAAAGCGGCTGCAATCGTCCATGTTGGCTTGTTGGTTTGTTTAATTCTTTTTATGAAAAATGAAAAGTATGGAAAGTCATTGCAACCATTGGCGTCCAACAGCCAATTTACCGCCTTCTTTCATCCCAACAACTACCCTAAAGGACTGATTGCCGAAAATCTCAACGCCTTTTGTCTACATTGATTATTCGCATTTTAATTTCATTCGATTACCACAGTGGCGAAAGCTTTTCGTACATTTTTTTTGAAGTTGTACTTCTTTAGGCGCGTTATGAAAAATTATGAGAGTGAAATTTTAAGATCACTGCAACACAAAAGTAACACCTTTGAAACTGCCCGGAAATCTAATCAATTTATAGGTGGCAGCATATTCTCAGTCACATTCGCCCGTTACAGTTCTCAATAATGAATGTACGTGACGCTTTCATAATTTAATTATTATTATTATTTATATCCTTTTCCAGTCTTTTTATTATTTTATTGTCATGAATTCTTTGCATGCATTTAAAAACTATTTTTAATGATGCCCAAGAAGTATAACTTCTCACGCGCGTACATAAGTACACGCACCCATTTTTGCTTTTATTGTTGGATAGTGTTTTAGTATTAGTCACCGAGACTAATTCCCAGTTTCTATATTCGACGAACGGCCATTAGTTACATAGCTTCGTAACTTTCATAACGACTTGGACGTAACTTTCATGACAATGACTCTATTCGTGACGTAGTTAAGATATGTAGTGGCTTGAATGAAATAAACTTAATATTAATTTTGACTAAACAAAATCAACACAATTTACGACATACAAATAAAAAAGACATTAGACATTAACATTAAATTTGATATTAAATAGATAGAAAAGGTGCAATCTGCAGTATTTTTGGATATCACTCTTGATGAACAATGAAATTGGAAGGAGCACGTTTTTTAAAATTTGTAAGAAATTAGACCGATTTGTTTATGCTCTAAGACGAATACGGAGAACAGTGTCGCGAGAGGCAGGTCTATGTGCATATCATGGTTATGTTTCGTCAGTTCTAAGCTACGGTTTTACCCCGGAGTTTTACTACGGAGTTACCCCATAACAATTTATGGGGTAACTCTGCCGATAGCCAGTAAGCATTTGTAGTACAAAAAGAAAATGTATTCGCGCTGTATGCAATTTGTGTTCGAGAATCCCATTTTAAGAAATTAAATATTTTTCCCTTACCGTGAAAAAAGAATCGCGTAAGCTTGTGAGCTTGATTTTAACCTTAAGTCAGTGCGAATTAATAGCAATTGTGACCCTTATTGTTGGTGGACAGATAACTCTAAATAATGCTCCAAATTTAGCAAGTTCGCCAAAATCTAAGTTTCAGCACCTTGCAGCAGTTTGTGCAGGGAAAGACTTTTTTCTGAAACTGGCTTTATTTACGAAGACAAGCGAAACCACTGCTCAACTCTTAAGCTGCAGAGAATTTATTCACACTAATTTGCCTTTAGTATAAATATATATTTTTAAAAATCCAGTATTCGTCCGGATAGTGTTTAGGCCACCGGAGATAGGCCGGATACCGGATAGTTACCGGATATCTGATCCATCTCTAATTGACATTCTACATAAAATTGGTAGATTCTACGAAAAACAATATTTTAAGGATGTTCGGCCTCATTCCTGAGTCATGGGAGTGTGATAGAAAAGCATAGCAGTTTGAAAGAATTTTCGCACGCGTAAAATTTGAACGAAAACGCATCCAAACTGCGCGGCCTTAACATACATTTTACATAAAGCTTATATATTATAATGAGTTTATTTATTATAACAAGAGCTAACAGGCTTTGTTTTTTTTTATATTTGAGGTGTCCCCCAAGGTAGATCGATATCTTCGATGTTTCGATTGCATTTATGTAGTATCTCAATAGTGATAGCTCAGTGTCCGGGCCCTGAGATCGATCCCCGTTGCCGGCACCAATAAAACTGTTAATCATCGCGAGGAATCCTGCATATGTGTGAAATAATAACAATAAAATATTTCAATAAATATTTCGGCCGCGTGGTGGACCATGCCCTGATCCCCTCTGTACAGTGGAGGCTTTTGCCCAGCAGTGGGACATGTATAGGCTGAAGCTTTACTTTTACTTTAATTCAGGGTCTCACCGTGACTTCGTCATTGATGGCGCAGATTATGACGGCGAACAGGACGGCGTGGAAATAGGCGCAGAGTACGTCGTCCGGAACGGCGTCCTCCTTGATGAGTACGTGCATGTTTCGATTTCCAATTACGGGATTCAATATATAATTGCGGTCATCGTATATTTCCCTCAGTTTACCGAGGTAGGCAGCGGCCGGCTTGTTTTTTGCGAAATCCTTCAGCGAGTAGCCCAGTTTTATTTGGAATCCGCACAGTTTCAGATCTGCAAAGAGATATTGATATTTCAAAACCTATTTTCATAAATAGAAGTGGTGTTTTTATGTGTTAAATTATATATACCATTCGCAGTAAATGCCTGTGAAACATGAAAAAGAATATAAATGTCAGCGAATGTCATTAGGAATAAGCCGAAATGTGGAAAGGAAATAGTTTAACTTGGACTTTTGTCATAAATTAATTGTTAAATAGAGATTTGTGTCAGAAATACTATTTTCACTGTTACTATTTCAGCAATATTTCATTAGGACTATATAGATTTATACTATTATAGTAGTTCAACTACTACACCATAAACTTTAACTGAACCTTGTATAATTTTTGATAAAATTAAAAGACCACCTCGAAACAAAGATTCTTTATTTTTAGGACCTCAAAAATGTATTAAAATAATGAATAAATAAATATTTTTTTCTCATAGACTCATTATGTTACTCTCTATTTCTTTATATTTATTTTTATTATCTGGATATCTATTAAAACAACCTTATAATTACACTGATTAAAATAAAGTTTTTCGAAATTTGTTATAATATTATAGAATTTAATCTTATGTTAACAAAATATCAAGATTTAATATAAAAAAATATAAAATGAAAGATTTAATATAAAATTTACTTCCTAGATAAAGATAAAAACAATGTAATTTATCGGATGAAAACACAAGAAACATGTTTTTAAGAAGACTCTGGCTTTTAAATAAAAAAAAATTAATTCAAAAAGACATTTTATATTGGACCGAATTGTGAATCTAAACCATTCCCGAATCCACCTGAAAACACACAAAGTTTCATCAAAAACGGTCCAGCCTTTTCTGAGGTGACAGTGACACATACGCACAGAATAATTATATGGACCGTTTATTTTGAAACTGGTGTAAGTCCATTTTTGAGAAAAATGAGCTATCACGTAATTCATGCTTAATTTAATGTAATTTTTTTTATATATAACTAGTCCGTGTTTAATTTCTCAAAAAAAATCTCATGTTTTGTACAACTTAAAATCGGTCGGTAAATGAAATACCATAATCATCGATTATGAAAGTGCTGATAAGTCCAATTGACAGAGGTAGGTGGCATAGCAGATGGATGCCGTTTCAGTTTCGGATCAGTGTTTTGTTATTTTTCATTTATTTTATGCTAGCTGTGTCCCGCGCTTTCACACGCGGGCGATTTGCATTGTTTCCCCTCCGTGTTTCGACTACTCGTAAGTTAAAAGATGATATTAAAAAATTAGATAAATGTATTAGAAAATGTACAGTACATAACCTGTGAGAATAAAATAAATACGACAAGGCTGAATGACTCGCGTATCTTTGCCCGTATTTTGGCGAATTAAAAAAACAACAAAAACAAGAGTAGCGCCATCTTTTCGCAGAAAAATCCGCAATCTTATTACGATTTTTCTAATTTTATATTATTTAGAGTTTGAATTTTTAAATAAAATGTAGCCTCATTCCAGTTCATACTCTAGCTGTGTATTAAATTTGAAACCAATCTATTACGTACTTTTGGCGATATCTTTACCCAAAAAAAAAACTTACAAACTTTCAGACTTATAATATTTATAGGATTACATGCCAAGAGGTGCTAATTTAGGTTAGTTATTCTATTTTTTTGTTAAAATGGCTAACTTCATATTAACATCAGATAGTGATTTAGGTAAGAACAAATGGTAAACCACTATTATCTTAAAACAACTGCAAATATTTATTTTATGTAATTATAAATAAATTCACACAGACATAAAGCCCTTGAATATAAACAGAAGAATAATCTTAGATTCAGAGGATGAAAATAATTCCGCCAGGAACAACAAATTAACGAATCGAACAAAGAGAAGAAGAATTATAGAGGTAGAATCTTCATCAGATGAAGATACTGTTATTGAGAACACGGATTCTACAGAACAAAATAAAGAAAAATATTTGAAACAAATAAACAAAATTAAGCGAAATAATGGACAAAAGTACCATACAAAAAGAGGAAAATTCATTCCTGCAAAACAATTTGAATCCAAAAATTGTAATTGTTCGAAGAAATGTATAGAACGTATTAATGAAGCACAACATATTGATAAGTGGAAATTTTTGATTAACTTCATTCTGCTTATAAATAGAAAGTACATAGAGGAGCGAGCTTTGGTCGGTTTTTTGGTAAGTCGTGTATTTTTGAAATTAAAAAAATTGAAAATAAAGAAAGCAATGATCTGGTATAGAAAAAAGTAAAAAGTGTGTAAATGATTGTGACACGAACCGCGGCCTTCTATTTGGAGGCCCCCTGATTACCGACCGAGCTATTATAACATTTTTTTTTCGTCGAAATTTACCATCATATTCGAATGATAGTTTTCATTCCCTGAAAACAGGGATAAAAGGATTTTTCCATTTCAAAAAATGAAACCTAGCTAGATCGATTTTTTGCACCCGAATCTACGCACATACTAAAATTCATGAAAATCGCTAAAGCCGTTTCCGAGATTCCGATTATATACATACAGGGTGTTACAGAAAGATGTTGTAACATTTAAAGGCGTGTATATATATCAGACTTTGAATCTAATGGCATAATTTTAAAATACGAATCTAAGCATTTTTTGACGATAAAAATTAAAAAATTAATTAACTGTAACAACCCTGATTGTAGAAGTCACTGACCACGCATCGGTGTTATCACTCCAAACGCATACATCTGATCGCCCGACTTATTCCCCTCTCCCTCCACTCCCCGTTAGGTCATTACCCCACCTCGGTAACCTTGACCCCACCCGTCGCCAAACTGCCACGACGACCGCATCGCGCTGCAGTTCGCGGCGATGCTTAATAATAAAATCTGATTGACTTTCCTTTGATTCCTGAATAAGTATTCACTATCGGGAAATAAAAGAAAGACACTGTTTTTACTACTTTTATTATTCTAAGTACATTTCCGTGTCGGAAATAAAAAACAATTTTTACATGGCATTATTAATAGTATCCTATAGTCGGTTAAACATCTCCACGATTTTAACAATTACTTACAACTAATTACTATTGAAATTTTGGAATAAACATTAAAGGCTTTACAATGACATTTTGAAACGTAACAAATCATACAACGCCGATGAGTTTATTCAACACGACATCTATGATACATAATCGGATAACAATAACAAGAATATTTTTTTAATTAAGATCAGTGTAAGGTATAAAATGATGTTTATTAAATACCTAGACTTTCTAATGAGATCAGCGTTTACTGGTTCAACCGCACACCCGTGCTTATCGGTTTCAGTTAGATAGCGGGCCACTATTATTTCACTGTAATAGCATGTCAGAACATAGACATTGTCACAACTACTCGAACATTTTGCGCAGGTAGAAGCGAAATTTGCGTATTGGTGTACTCGTAGTAAAGTTTCAAAATAAATCGATGGTAGTTCTATCCGCAATGATAAAAATGGTAACGACTAAACTTAAGGACGTACAGAAGAAAAAATAACGTTATGTTTGATGATTTACCGTGAAACGATACTTTTCGTTATCGCAGTTTCGTTTTGGTTTATCTACTGATTTTTGCGCAAATTAAAAAGGTAACGTAAACTCATAACGTAGATTTGGTATTGAGTATGTGTTCGTGTGTGGAACAGAAACAAGGTAAGAAAGATATTTTACAAATTTGATATAAGTACTTACGCACTATAGAAGACACAAGACGCAAATTCTTCACTTAGTCGCTTTCTAGCTCTTTCGCGCCTTGTACTTCCGACAATTAAAAATTAATACATTGAAAAATGCCTTGGTGTGGGTTGAGATATTTCCTAATAATTTAAGGAACACGGAAAAGTGCAAAGAAATAACTTTTCATCTGTAAATAATCTAATTTTCATATTTTACAAATTCAATACGAAACACACGCCGTATTCTACTATTTGTCATAGACTAATAACAATCAGCATCCTTATTATGTTTATTCAGTTGGTTTGAAATGAAGCTAATTGATTAGATTCAACTGTCAAAGTTATCAAAATTTGTACAGAAATTTTGACAACTTTGACAGTTGAACCTAATTACTTCACTAATAAAACACCAGAGAGCGCTAATTTCGGCAGTAGTGCTGCCTCTTTATTTCAAGCACGATCCCTGAAGATTGCAGCGAACTAAAGATTCAAATATCGAAAAATAGAACAATAATTAAATTATATAACGTAGCTTCTCTAGTACGTAAGTATTTATATTTCGATGCATATGTATGTTTTTGTTTTTAATAAAAACGTATTTTCACTTTATTTGGTTCTTATGTTAAAAAGATATTATAATAAAGTTCAAGTGAGATTTAATTGTTTCTTGGTTATTAAATGTTGTTAATTACTAATTGATAATTAATAATTACCAAATAACGATTATTGTTTATATTCAATTTATTATTATTGTTTTTTTAATATTTTTTAATATTTTACAGTTTAATTTACCTACCTGCTACAATGGATAAGAAAAGAAGTAAGCTATGGGGTTTTTTTACGCAAGTTAAAGATGATAAGGCAAAATGTGATCTTTGTAAATCGTTGTATTCAGTGAAAGGCGGCTCTACTACAAATTTAAAAAAGCACCTTTTAAACAAACACAGATCAACCTATGAAACCATCAATCCATGCTCTGGGTCAGATGTTGCAGTTCTGGAAGCTCCTGAATCATCAACTTCAGCAAGTACAGAATCTACTATACCTGAAATTAAAACAAATGACAAAAATTCGCAACAGACTAAGTTAAGTGCCTTTATTCAACGTCCTGTAGGTGTAGCAAAAGAAAAAAAAATTAATAATTTAATTTTTAAAATGATAGTTAAAGACCTGCAACCTTTTTCTGTAGTTGAAGACGAGGGTTTTAAAGCTCTCATTAATTACTTAGAACCAGGCTACAAAATGCCTTCAAGGTACATACTAAGCAACACTTTATTGGATGCGCAATACTCAGAAGCCCAAAAAAAATTAAAAGATGAATTAGAAAAT